TAATAATATGAATAGAATTTATCAAATCATATGTTAGAATAATAATTATATAATTTATACATTTAAAACTTTAAATATAATCAAGATATATATATATATATAAATATATTTATATATTACCGGATCGGAGTAGATATCCACTTTCTAAAATTTTAATATTTGTGATTTACTTCGATTTTAACGGATATTGATTTTTATTATTTGTTTTGCTTCAAAAGCTTACGGATATCCGAAATTTTCGATTCGAATCGAATCAAATAACGAACCAAATCAAATTTAACGGATAAAATGCCCAGCTCTAACTGAAATATAATAAAAGCCCAATTTCTTTTTCATATAATTTCCCTATACGTCCAATTAGAAATAGGTTATGGTATTTTACATTCGGTTCTTGCCCATGCTTTCAAATTTCAAATAGAAGAATTTTAACCAAAAAGATACCATAATTAATTTCCATATCATAATACTAAACATATTTACCATCATATGTTAAAATGGCAGAAATTATAAGCTTACTATTCGTAAAGAGCGATATAAACTTAGCCATAAATATTTTATATCGCGAATGCATCACATAAATTAATAAGAGAGTAGACTAATGAAAATAGTTTTGCACGTTAATTTGTTCATGCTAGTTAACATGCAAATTGCAATAGTCTCATGTTGATTAAACTAACTAATGCAAATAGTCTGAACCAAATTTTCTCATCGAGCATTGCAGTATTCTCATTTGTATTCGCTTATCTTTTGTCAAACATTTGTATTCGCTTATCTTTTGTCAAACATTTGTATTCGCTTATCAAAAACATTGAGCATTTGTCTTTTTCAAACAAAAAAAAATTTCTCCCAGTTCTAAACAAAAACAAAAACCTTCTTTTGTCTGCGTTCGAAAAGAAAATCTGTATGCTATACCACAAATTACACGGAGATGAAACTTCTTTTGTTTTACAACTGTGCTTTACAACTTTTTGTGTGTTTACAACTGTTGGTCAAACTTGTTCAGTCAGATTTATAAAAAGTATTGAAAAGTCAAATCAGAATACAATTTCCCGTGACGTGAAATATACATAGCGAGTTTATATGCTATATAAATTTCCAATAGTAAGCTATGTATATTGTTCTTTTCTTTTCAAGCAGGATCATCTTATATATTCACATTAAACAAAGAAGAAGAATATATATTATTAGAACCAAATGTTTTTTGTTTATTACAAAAATGTATGTTTTCATTTACTGTTCAAAATCTTTTTTAAGAATTTAAACTTTTAAACCCCATACAGGTCGTTAGTTTTTTGGTGAGGGACCAAAGATATGAACAATATAGATGCAAATAACTGTAGATTATATATTAGCAAAAAAAAGAATGCACAGTAAAGATGTACTAATCTTTATGTTTTCCTGAACATGATCTTTGTTTTGTTGGCACAATGAACCGAGTGTTTGCACTGGAAATATAATTATTAAATGAATGCCATTAAGTGGCTCAAAAGAAAAAGAATACCATTATAGACTCATATAGCTGATGAAGAGCTACGGGACAAACATGCCTCAAAACATGACTGCCCTTTATATTTATTACGTTCCTAATTACAATGCTACATAGATAAAGTCGTAGCCAAACCTGTATTCTCTGTTGAAATAAATACTACGTATATTTATAACAACAACGAAAATTCTGAACCAATCAACTGTTGAAATATTTCATTGGATTTTTCTTAATCATGACCAATAAATTTGTTAGCAAGTGTTGAGAAGACGCAAATGAGTTGTCTCTCTGTTAAACCAATATATATATATCGTCCTCTACGTTTGGCATTTATCATTATATTTACACTTCGATAGTTAATTTAAATCACTCTTCCCATTATGACTTAATGCCTAAAGGATATTTGGTACATGGATATACGGATTAGATGGTACTGATAAACTAATCAAATTGTAGGATATAATGATATTTTAGTGAAAAAATACCCACGCCATATAGAAACAACAACATGTATTCACATAGTAAACAACTCCCCGAAAACGTCCAACTCGCTTACACCTCTTTCTACTTATTGTATTGCACATATAAGCCATCTCTCTTATTACACTAATGGTTTTATATTTCAAAATTTCAAAATGTTTCCAATTAATGAAGTTGGTAGGGTACCGATAAAGCGATGCAAAATTAAATTGTAAATATTTGGTTTCCCAACTGGTCATCCTCAATTACCCAACCACTCTTCTGACTAACTTCCTTTGCCCTATTTATTTCGCAATGCAATAATACACAACTGCCTATATATATATGTACGTATACGATTATATATTACAGTTAATTAACTAATCTCAATTTAATAGTTTTACACAAATTAGAAATAATAATTACAATGTTTTATCGTTTTAATAATAACATATATTTAACTAATAGTGTTTGAGATATATAAATTATCTATTTAAACTAACACATTTTGTAATTAATACTAAATTTAAATTAGGTGTAAATTGCACTGAATTTTTAAAAATGATATTATTTGCGTAAAAAAGAGTAAAACTCAACTTAGATAATGTCTTTTAATTGACTACGGGCATGTAAAACATCTAAGAGAAAGTAACCTAAAGTTTCAATTTTTAAATATCGAATAATTACATGCTAAAACAGTTAGCACTTACCATAACACACACTGTTTATTAAAAAAAATATGTGAATTCAAATTCAAAGTAACATTTTTATGAAGAGACTGTTTATACTTTCACAAATTATATAAAACTAGTCAAATTTAAGGAAACTAGGGATTAATCTAGGGAAAACAGTAAATCCAGGAAAGTAAATAAATAAAAAGCAATTAACTCAGCTATGAATTTTTTTGGTTAGGATGATCTTTAATTTTTGCAAACATATTATAAAAAGTTCATAATCATGAAACTATTATGCTAGTCCGTCAATTAGTTATATTAATCAGAGTCGGTATGCTGAATCAAAAGTTTAATTTATTTTTTTTCATGTAAAACGTGTGACGTGTATTCAAAAACATATTCATTTACTGCATTGATATTTAAAATATTAATTTTTTAAAGCTAGGGTTTAGGAATGACGACCTGTTTCTGTTGTGTCTTATTAAAAGGCCTTCTCCTCCGCCACTCATCATTCCCTCATCATAACACCATCATCACCATTCACCCACCTCTCTCTCTCTCTCACTTTCTCCCTCCTCTTTTTTCTCTCTCTCTAGAGCAAAATTTGAGAATCTGTTAAATATTGTGATTATTATCATGAGAGTTAAGCTATTTCAGTTGAGGGGAATGTTGTCTGGACCGAGGATATTATATATACACACATACATATATATATGTTGATACAAGTGATCGATCATATATATATGAATATAGAGTATTCTCGGACCAGGCTTCATCCCCCCTAACATGTTATTGCGTTGATCACCAGATATTATTAAATCCTTTGCTAATTACTTGCAATGTTATTAAGTTCAGTAATGATCTATGTGCCTTTCATGCATGGATTCTTAAGAATAGATGTACACATTTTCGAATCCCTTTCTGTTTCCTTTTATTTCGTATCCTTGAATATCTATAATTAAGACTATATCATTACTTATGTATTTTGAAAGTAACATAATCGTTTCATAAGATATTATATACGAATGTCTTCTGTTAAGGATTGAAGCACATATATACACTATCAAAGATCTAAGTTAGACCGCTTATAACTCCATATTGACATCTTTTTATATTTGCACCTTCTTGTTCGGCTAATCTTGATCAGCGTTGAGCTAGCAGGTTTCTTGGCATTATTTTTCTCCCTAGTCAACTTCGAATAGAACACTCAGTGACTCAGATGAAAGTCCAGAAGTTAAGTGGCCACATATTGTCAGACTTTTTTGTCCAGAGCGGAAATGAGCCCGTAGTTCAACGTCCTGAGACTCGGATCTTCAACTACCTCACTACCACACATACCGATATCTTTGTTAATATATGAGTTGAAAAAGACTTTTCGTTGTTAGACGATCCTTATCTTTTACATTGATGTTTTCTAGATTTTCAGGTCGATATTTGAATAGGAATTAATCAAAATTATTAACAGGAAAACCGAGACTTCGATTAATGAAACAAAAAACTACCAGTTTATCTAATCCTACGGTTCACTAATGAGGTATAATAATGTGTAGACTCCAGCAAGATGAGAAGTTTTTTTTTTCTTTGTTTCTTTCAACTACTATCTTTGAATGTTTCTGCGCATGTATCTTTTAAATAAAAGACTTAATTTACAGTACGAGCGAAATTTTTTTTAATCTACAATAATAACGATTCTCCAAAGGAAAATATTTGACAAAATTTGCAAACGTAGGAAATTTTGAAGTGTTCAAATTATCACGTAACATCAACATCAATTTGGAGTTAATTTCACACTCATCATAACTTGGATACGATCTAAATGAGTTTCTTGTAAAAACCTCTGGTGATCAAACAAAGAATAGTGAAAGGCCGAAAGCTTGGTCATGAACAGCTGGTGCCCCGGTCCTCATGAATCCCATTAACCCAAAGGCGGACCGGGGTGCAAGTGACACAAGTTAAATTAAATATAAATGTTAGGTTTGTAAGCTTGTTGTGGTAATATAATTTAGCTTGGTTGGTTACAGATTCAGCCCATTGACCCTTCTTTCTTGAGTTCAAATCTCAGCATATATAAATGTTAGGTTTGTAAGCTTGTTGTGGAAATATAATTTAGCTTGGTTGGTTACAGATTCAGCCCATTGACCCTTCTTTCTTGAGTTCAAATCTCAGCATGTACTATATTTGAGTTCTTTTCTTGAGTTCAAATCTCGGCATGTACTATATTTGAGTTCTTTTACTTTAGGTTAAGTTATTCTTTTTTTTAATTGGGCCTATGTATATTTTTGTAGTTGAGCTATGACCCAGGTAAAAAAATCTCTTGGGTCCGCCACTGCATTAACCGTCAGGATTTCATCGGCATGTAAGCATAAGATGAATAATGTTCTCTAAAGCAAAGCCGAACTTGTACTACTAGATAATACAAATACCATTACAACACGGTTTTGTGGAACTATTCCACAGTCTATCTTCTGTTGTAACTCAAGAAAACTAATGCAAGTTGATCAGTCTCACAAGAAAGCACAAGTCCTAGATATATAAACAATACAAAAGTTTCTCTGGATCCTTTCATTTGCCATCATCTTTTCCTTGTCCATCTGCTCCATCTTGCTTGCCCCCTCTAAGCCCCACTGTCAGTCAAGAAGGAAGAAACGATTATGTAACAAAATTACAGGAAGCTACAAATAATAATCAAATAAATAACCAATCTATTCAATGATATGTTACAAACAATTGCGTAGATGATTGAGTATTGTTTTAGAGCAAAGGGTTACCGTTTGCAGCGCTTCCTCCAAGAGAGGTTTCTGGTTGTTGTTGTTGCATCTGATGCTGCATCCCGTTGTTGTTGTTGTTGATGCCCATTGGTCTCATCCCCATGTGTCCTTGCATAGCTTGTTGATGCATCTGCATCTGCTGCTGTTGCGGATCCTGAAGCTGGTGTGGGCTACCAAACTGCAAAGGACCTCTTGGAGGGAAGATACCTGCAGGTGATGCTTGTTGAGCCATCCCTGGGTGTTGCATAAAGTAGCTCGGCGGTTGCATCGTAGGGTGTGGTGCCGACATCTAACACAAATCACAGAGCAGCAGTAAGGAAATCATGTACAATGTTAATGATCTCAAATGGGGAAAGAACCTGGGAAGCCATAGCAGGTGGTGGTGTAGCTCCTGCTGGTGTAGAAGGAGGAGGTTGAGCATCAGCAATAGCAGCTAGGTACATTAAGTTCTTCTGGAGAACAGCTTGGTACCTGAAAGTAAACATTCTCAGATACCATTTTATTGTTGAAGAAGAGAGATACAAAGGAGTGAGAGAGAGAGAGACTTACTGTGCACACTCTGCAAGTTTACCAAGATTCTGATTTTCCATGATTGCCATGATCAGCTTCTTGTTCTCCTCAAGGTACTAAATTTAACAAAAGACAAGGAGTGATGAAGTAAAAACAAACAAACAACCAAGAAAACACACCAAGCATCTAACCTCAATGTCCAAAATCTGATTCTTAAGTTGAAATAACAAGTCAGAGCAGACCAACTTTTGTATCTATGCAACCAAGCAATCAGAGTAAAATACCCATTTGAGAATCCAAAGATGGACACTTTAAGGCCCAATTACTTGACTCAAATCAGAAAAAAAGACAATTGATTAACTAATAACTCTCAATTAAGACAGCAAAGACCCTAATATTAATCTGTGACAGCAATAAAGAGAATTAACCATTCAGAAACAGGTAGAGAGAGAAATGAAGAAAGGAGAAACCTTTTGGATCTGTTCGGTGGTGATGTTAGTTGGCGGCATCGAAGGAGCCATCGGAAACATTTGCTGCTGCATCGCTGATTTTACTCCAAAAAGAAAACCTCGAGATTCTACTCCCTATCAACTATCAACTCCCCCTCGTAGCTCAAACCAAATTATTAATAGATTATCCCTTCACTTGGAGGATTCCTCTAGATGTCTCCCTTGCGATTTTATGACCAAAAATCTTACCACTTTCCTTTCTTTGTTATAAATATAAAAAAAAAACATTAATTACGAACAAATAACTCTCTCTGACTTACTTCTTAGTTCATTCTGGGCCTTGAGATTCTACCTCTACGGCCCATGATATATAGTACCAATTACATATAGCCTTCTTCTGCCCATCCCAATAACCGATTCCCATCACCCGTTGACCCAGCTACCTACGTCCTTGATTTATTTACTTTTCTTTCATACAGACAACAACTTATCGCAAAAACGGCTCAAGTATCAACTGGTTTGTCGGAAAAAGCTGGTAATTAATTTATTCTCTTAAACCTTAAAAACATACAGAAATATTCTACACTTCTATACGGAGATTAACTAATAATATATCATTTAATTCCATATTATTCACAACAGTTTAAAAGCAAAAGTCAAAAAGGTTTATCTCACGACGATCGTGATTTGGTTTCCTTCGTGATTCACGCCGTCATCGTCTTCGTCGTCGCATAGATCGGAGACCAAAACGGAGATAGAGAGAAACGCAGGAGTGACGAGGAAGATGAGCCCCACAGGAACCATCCATAGATTAGAATTTGTGGGATGGTATTTGTATACCCAATATGTTAGAAACAATCCTGCCAATGTAACAATAATCATCGAATATAATAAGAATACCATTGACGACATACTACTCTTCTTCTTCTCCTTCCAAATCTTCTCATTTATCTTCTTCATCATATTCGTGTTCATGTTGCTTTCGTGTTTCATTTGCTAGGTGAAGTGAAAAGAAAGAGATGGGGGTGGGAGATGATAGCTTTATTAATATTTTTTTAGAGTGTATGAGTAAAAGCATATATATACAGTCGTGTTTCACTTCCTATATGTTGGTTTAGAAATATATAATTTCAAAATCATAACCGATTTCATATGGGTTTGCGTCAATTTTTCTTTGGCTCTATTTATAAAAGAGGGGTTTATGTATTCTTTCTTTGATTTAGTAAATGCTACCTTAAACCAGATTGGGTATTTAAACCTATTTTTGAGGTTGCAGCCCTGATTTTTAGTTATAAAAATCTAAAATACCTTGGGTTTTGAACAACATTCTTAAAAATAAAGTATTATTTGAGGAATTTTATTATATGCTCCAAGTTCTAATTTCTGTTACCAGGCGAAAATAAACGTGAGTGAGGAAGGGCGGAATACGGTGCCGTGTGGTGCAAGTAGAGTTACGTATTTGTACATGCACTCTATAATTTGAAGGCATTATATGCGCTTTATAAAATCTTATTCACACGTTAGGTTTTTAAAATTTCAAAATATAAAGAAACACAATCTGAGCCGGCTCTATTATTTATACGTATGAATATCTAACTTCGTTACTAAAAATATACGTGGTAAATCCGGAAACCAAACTATGTGACTAAAGAGTTAGGTCCTTCGACCATTTGTATTATCTCTTTGTTTTGTCTAGACAGACATTTTTTATTTGTAATGTATGAAGAACACACTAAACATGCAAAACTTTCAAAGGAAAATAAAATCATAGAGTAGGATTCCGACTAGATAAATTACAACTAATTAAGGATGATTGTGGCGTAACTGGCTTGTCTGTCATAAATTTATATTTATCGAAATTATCAAATACAGAATTTCATACAAATGGTTTTTAGCACCATCCATAAATAGTAAATAAAGTTTTTTCTTTTCTATCTAGAAAACAGAGATTCGATTACTATAACGCTTTCTATTAAATCTGGTCGTTTGTTTTCTTAAGATATAGCATTGCAAGTGCAAGTATAATCTTTTTATTCGGCTCTATATTTCAACCTACAAAACTGTTAATGGCTTGATTAAGTTTATATAGGCCAAGAGTTAGTAATAAGGGTATTTGAAGTAGTCCAACTTGTAATAAATGGAACTCGAGATGTCCGGTCTAGTGGAACTCCAAACCGAGATAATAATTTTTAGTTTTTATATAAATTAAAACTGGATTGAACAAGGTCAATTTGATAACCATATGCAATTGCTTTCATGTGATGGTGACGTGCTATTATTGTACCCGAATTTGAAAAGAAAAACAACAACATGAGAACTAAAAAACACTCAATTATTGGATGTTTAATTTAGTCTGCATTATTTATCTTCTCTAATACGTAAAATATTTTAAAAAACTCTTCTCTCAGTAATATTATTAGATATGCAATACACTAACCTATGCCTGCTACTCTTTTCTGTGTTTTTATGAGTGCTAAATTTCTAAGAAAAAAAACAGATGAAGTTAGAATATAAAACTCTATATTAAAATAAAGAAAAAACTTTTTTGCAAAATAAAAATAAGAGAAAGAAAAACATTATCACATTTTGCGTCATCAGAGTTTATCAGTATGGATTTATGTGAATGTGGCGTTCACAGTGGCCTTCACTCACATGGAAAGAACGACATATTTCAGTCGTATATATATTTTTCTTTAACATACTTTTGTAGGAATCAGATCTATGACCATTAGAGCACCCGCAATGATGAATCCTTACGGAGAATCCTTAGAGAAATATTAATTTTATAATCAATGGGTTCCATAAATAGTTAAGGATTTTATCCTAAAAATCCTTATGTAAGGATTGATCCTTACACTATTCATGGGCTCCACTGCACACGTGGCGGTACGTGAATGGTCAGTTTTTCTTTTTTTTTTAAAAAAAATCTGAAATATCCTTATATAATCCGAAATACCCTTTTTTCTTTTTCCTAAGGATTCCTCTAAAGGATCCGCCATTACGGATGCTCTTAGGTGTTTCTAAATAAAAAAACAAGTTACATATATAGGTGTTGTACCAATCAAATTTTATTTAATATACATAAATAATTGACAACAAGTCTATCTTACAAAAAGACAATGAAATTTGTAAATTCAGAATGGTAAGAATCAAACAAAGAAAAGAACATGGAATAATATCTTTAAAATAAAACGATATCCACATACATATTGAAAAATAAAATTTCCATATATACAGTATAATCCAAATGCAGAATGTCTGAGCCTCACAAAATCACACCCAAGAAAAAAGCAAAAAAAGGAAGTTTCATAAGGGCGAATACATGTCCATAGGTCCAATCTATACACGGGACGGACGCGAAACATGGAATAATGTTTTGCCGTTAAGTGCATGTGGGGACCTAGACACCGCTCGTGAATCCCACTCTCCCTATAACCTCTCTCGCTCGTCCGCTTATATTATCACCACCTATCCATCCATCCATCCACTAGAAATAGAGAGGGAGAGAGAGAATCGTCTCATTGAGTTTTATTTAATCTTTCTGAGATCTTAAACGTTAAAGCGTTGACTGTTAGGAAGAAGAAAAGAAGAAAGAAAAATGAGCGGGAGTAGAAAGAGGACGACGCCGGCAAGCCGGACTCGGGTGGGGAACTACGAGATGGGACGAACTCTAGGCGAAGGAAGCTTCGCTAAGGTCAAATACGCGAGGAACACCATCACTGGTGACCTAGCCGCTATCAAAATCCTCGACCGAGATAAGGTTCTCCGCCACAAAATGGTCGAACAGGTTCGTAAAATATGTGTCGAATATAATACGAAAGCATGCACGTGCTTCGGATTTGTTTTATAACCTATTTAGGGACCCACGTTGACATGTACGAGGTTTGTGTTTGGTGATCAAAGCTGGCTACTGATTGACTAAAGTGTAATTATCATTTAAAAGACTCCAGATATATAAACACGGATTAAAATTAATATGAATTTTCTGCTAATACGGATTTGAAAATCTTTGGAATCTAATCTTAGTACGCATTGAGATAATGATGGCATAGATATTGTTTTCAAGTATTGTAGCTTCCTTTATTTTTTAAAATTGGTTCGTAAATCTGAGGAAAAAATCTAGTGTTATGTGCAAGATCTTGAAGATATATATAATAAGCATACGTCTATTTATCTTGGTGCAGCTTAAAAGAGAAATATCGACAATGAAACTGATTAAACATCCAAATGTGGTCGAAATCATTGAGGTGAGAAGAAGCTAATGAACTTTTAATATTATTAAACATCTATATGTGCTAATAATCTTACCGTGTACAATATCTCTCTGTGTGGTACTGGTGAGTGCAGGTAATGGCGAGCAAAACGAAGATCTATATCGTTCTTGAGCTTGTCAATGGAGGTGAACTATTTGATAAAATTGTAAGAAAGTACCAACCCCTATTATATTTGATAAAATGTCGTCACATTATATAATAAGTTTGTCATTTATATCTAATCTCGTAGCATAATCGTGAGACTGCTAGATTTTTGTATCACGAAATATTAATTTTAGAGTTTTCACCTGTAATAAGACGCCAACTGAAACAATTACTTAAGAGTTTTCTTCCTTTTTTTTTTTTTTTCCTCTTTACAAATATCGAAATGGTATCTGTTTTCCTCTGTTCTTTTACTAATGCAATTTTTGGATCTGAACCATGCAATAGGCCCAGCAGGGGAAACTAAAGGAGGATGAAGCTCGGAGTTATTTTCATCAGCTCATCAATGCTGTGGATTACTGCCACAGTCGAGGGGTCTATCACAGAGATCTCAAGGTCTTAATTATAACTTCTTTCACATGATATTATCCATCATGTTCAAGTTTCTCAACCTATATGTGTTGCTTGTTACAGCCTGAAAATCTCATCCTTGATGAAAATGGGATTTTAAAAGTTTCTGATTTTGGGTTAAGCGCGTTTTCACTACAAGTTCGGGTAACTAATTTGATTTCTCTATTGGATTCCATAGCCATTTGGCAATTAGTTTCTGAAATGAACAACATTTCATTTTACTTTTTATAAGCACCACTCTTTTGAATGCAGGGAGATGGTTTGCTTCACACTGCTTGTGGAACGCCGAACTATGTTGCTCCTGAGGTAGATACCTAAAGTTTCAGCACTTAAAAAGCAAAGCAAACTAAGTGTTTCGGATATATAATGATCGACCAAAATAATATACTAATGTGTTTTAGGATATATAATAAACTTTCCGCATAATTTTTGGGGGGTTTGCG